TCCAATGACAGTTAATTTTTTTCACTGTGGTTTTCGTTTTCTTCATTTGTTGATAATCTTGAGCTTTCAGAGGTTCCTTTTTGTGCTACCTGAGAGGGTAGAAAATTCTTTCTTAGGTCAAGTCATGGATATCTCTTGATGGGGAAGGTATGCTGGGATTTTCTTGCCACACCCTGCTCCCCTGCTGTCTATGGAATGGGGAAGACATGAGGCTTCTTGGATTGTACTTTGTGCAAAAGCTGGAACCCTCTTGCCTGTTCTGGTATCTCTGAATGAGGAAGGAGTCCTCAAGACCTGTGAGTACAAAGAAGTCCTATGTATCAGTCAGATGCATGAAAGATAGCCTCAGAAGCACCAAACACGTTGGTGTCACATTTAGGAAAGAAAGGGCAGTAATTCCCTGCATTAATTTGAGCCAGGAGTGAGCCCAAGTTTGAATCCTGCACATCTTTCCCTGTGTCTTCCATCTGTATTTGATCTTTGTATCTACCGGTTCCTAATAAAGGGCTTTCTTCTGCATTTACTGAACAACACAGGAGGCATCACACGGGGAAGGAATGAGGCATACTTTACAGAAATCCTAACAGAGTGTTACAAGGGATTCACTAACTGATGTCAACCGAGTCAGATAACAAATGATTTTAAGCATGCAGTTATCCACAGTATCCATATGCTGCTTCCAGCACGTATGGTGGATATTTGTTGTAGAAGGTTGCTTTCCACCTATGGGCTGTTTTCAGCAAACAAAAACCATAACACACACATGCACACATGCAATGCTGTGGCTCAGGGCCATGGAAGAATACATAGTTTAAGATTAAAGCTATGTACTAGTGTAGGTTGTAAAAGCTGATCACATAAGAACTCCAAGAGAATTAAGGTTCCATTATTCTCATAAAGGCAGGTTAAGCAAATAGTCTGAGCATACAGTAGGTTATCAGGCTAAGTCTACATGATTTCAATGTGTTTCATGAACCCTGTAAAAGCTCCAGTCTCTAAGACTATAAGAGACATTCCCATACAGATGCACTGCCACATACCCGAATGCATTGCTTGCTGCAATTGGGTCTCTCTAGCTGGTCCCTTCTGTTTGACTTGGTTATTCCTGGTAGAAAAGATGAAGCTTGGGCTGGATTGCAATTACTTAATCACTGCCCACTGGTGAATATTTCAGATATCTACTTTTTTGTTTTGTTTGTTTATTATTGCTAACTCTAGTCATATATATATATATGATTTGCCATGAATGGGGTAGTCACATGTAGTATTTTGGTCTGATAGTTAGGTGTAGTGTGTTGATCTGATAATTTTTAAAGTATTTGTCATGTCATACAGCCCTACAATTAGACATGGTTCGTCAATTATGGAGTTCTATAGGTTATCTTTCTTTCCGCCAGTGGAATGAACTAATTCAAGACATGTTAAAGTAAGTATTTAAATGAAGGTTTAATTATTTAATGCATTTGTTTAAGTATCGCTCTTGGTGTGTTCACTGGTCCCAAAGACGGTGTAAGGGAAGCTGCCATACAGGGGGAGACAGAAACCCTGGGAAAGAGAAACTGGGAGTGCACAGAGAGAGGAGAGAGGGAAAGCAGAAAGAGAGAGACAGAGAGAGAGAGAGAGAGAGAGAGAGAGAGAGAGAGAGGAGAGGAAATGCAGAAAAAGAGAGAGGAAGGAACTACAATTTCTGGGTTATATAGTGAAGAACCTCTGTGGGAGGTGAAGCCCTGCCCCTGGGCTAGAGAGTTCAGGGCAAAGGGCAGAGTGTGCCAGCTGTGCCCTGTAATGGGTAGGGACTAAGGGATACTGGGAGAACCTGGAGGTCAGGTCCACCTTGGTTCAAAGGGTACCTTAGCTGCTTGTCCTGGGCCTGAAGCCCAAAAGAGTTGCCTTACTTTAAAGAACCATTACTATTCCATTTTTCCCCCTAAAGAGTGGTACATATATATTCTGACCTAGAATATTAATAAACATAAACAAGCCTCTTAAGACAGGCTGGAACATTTCCCAGATTCTGCCAGATTCTGTTTCCCATTTTTCTTTCATGACCTCTATACAATCTTTTAAAGCTTCTGATAGAAATAAAAAATAAAAATGCTTATCAAGATGCATTTGGAAGGACTATGCATTTATGCCATCAGAACTAAAATGAATATTAGATTTAGTGTTTTGTTAAAAATTAAAATATTTTTAGCATTTCTTCCTTCAGAAATATTCCTCATTCTTTTGCTGGACACATGATAAGAAGTATGTTTCCACTAGCTGCAGGTAATAGCAGCAGCAGCATCAATAATGACAATAACAAGTCATTGTCAGTTTTTGTGCCCCACAAATGATTGTGTTTTCTACTGCAACCTCGGGGATCGAGCCATCAGCTTTTGCATTAGAGAAAATGCTCTACCAATGAGCTAACCCTCCAAAGTCATTGCTTTAAAGCTGCTGTCTGTGATAGCCTGGAATCATTGAGTTCACACTCAGGTGAATAAGGTGACTCAGCTAAAGGCTACTCAGTCTTGCTGCTTTGGAAATTTTAGCAAGGAGTTTCTTACAACTCATAAATATTTTTCCTAATTTATAGTTCATACAATTCAGTTGGGCAGCAATTGTAATTTATTCTGTACTTGGAGAACAATAATTTTTGTCATTTGTTTAGATGAAGCAACTGAAGCTAGAGAAACCTTTTTGTGTCTGTAGCTTAGATGGTGTCATTGTCATTAACTGGAAACAGAATTGTATGGTATGGACTGTAGCTCAGTGGTAGAGAGCAGTAGCATGTGGGAGGCCCGGGGCTCAACTTCCAGCACCACAAAAACGAACATGGAAACTACCACAGCGAAACACCTGACTTCTAGCATGGATGATCCGGACCTGGAAATGGAAGGCGCATTTTCATTTCTGCTGCCTGGTCTGAAAGATTCACTGCTGGAAAGCCTAGGAAACTGGAAGCCAAAATAAATTCTGCAGTAGTTTTTCAGGATTTACAGTAAACAAGGAAACTGTCTTGAGGAAGTTTATGATAGCTGGCCTGTATGTGATTATAAGTTATGTCTTAGTGATTTTTAAAAAACTCTTTTGAGTTATTGAGTTCTAGTTCATTTTCTGTCACCAGTAACGTCGTAACATGGGCAGAGTTGAGTTTATAAATAAGATGGGTTTATTTGGGCTCAGGGTCTGGAGGTCAAGAAGCCATATCTAGAGATGGCATTACTGGCAGAGACCCAAGATGGTCCAGACCATTTGAAGGGGTAAGGCCGTGTGTGTGTGCATGCACATGTGAGTGTGTAGGTGAGAGAGAGACAGAGAGACAAAGACAAAGGGACAGAGATATACCTAGAGAGACAGAAGGCAGAAGACTGTTTCGGCTGTCTCCCTCTTACAAAGCTACCAGGATTCAATCATGCAACTCCATGCTAATGACTTACTTCATCCTGATCATTTCCCAGAGGTCTTCCTGCTAAGTACCACAGTGGGATTAACTGCCCACCTTCTTATCGACTATCCCTGGGAAATAAATCTCGGCACATGAAGCCTTGAAGGATGCATCAAACCATAGCTAAACCGTAACACTCGCATACTAAGGTTTCACCTGATGGAGCTGTGCAGTTTAGTTGTTTTTAATACACTCACAGGGTTGTGCTGCCATCACAATCAATTTTAGAACATTTCCATCACCACAGAAAGAAATCTAATATCGCTCAGGCATCATTTCCCATTTCTCTCCAAATTCATTAGCCCTAGACCACCACAAATCTATGTAATGTCTCTAATTGGCCTACTTTTAGACATGTCATGTAAATACAATTATATAACGTGTTTTTTTCCTGTCTTAATTTCTTTCACTTACAAAATGTTTTTAATACAGATTATGTCAAATGTATAGATCAAACTGGAGGGTCTTGCTTTGTTAACACATTAATTCTTCCACCTTTGAAGCTGAGTCTTTCAGAAGCTTTTTTATAATTTCAGGTTTTAGTTTGAAAAACAAGTTTGCTTTCAATTAAAGATTGTTTCTCAGTGTCTTACTGTTTTTCATGTTTTTATACATGGAATTTAATTGATTTTAACTTAATTTTTGGGTTGGTTGTCGCTGATAGGTGGGTATTTAATTTGCTTTCAAGCACTGACCATCCACTGTGTGTCAACACTGTGTTGCTGTGCGATTTAACAAAAGGAGGATTGGCTTTGGCTCCCAGTTGCACTGAGTGGCCTCCAGGGCCTGTTTCTGAGCTTGTGGTGACAGAGGGCATCATGGTAGAGGAGTGCTTGGTAGAAGCTGCTCACCTGGGAAACCAGGAATCAGAGAGAAAGGGCAGAACCAGGAATAAGATACAGTCTCCATTAAAAGCACATTCCAGTGACCTACTTCACCATCTAGAGTTCCCACCACCTCCCAAATAACACTGTTAGCTGGGGACCAGACATTCAACAAGAGCCCATGGAGGACATTTGCTCTCATCTGTAGTGCTTGGTAACGGTACAGACTCGTCCAGATACCTGCATTGAGCCTTTTGGGGCTTCTGGATGTGAAGTGATATCATCTGCAAATGGAAATCACTTTACTTCTTCCTTCCCTAATCTGATTGTTTTTATCTTTTAGTTAAGCGTATCTGTGTGTACCTATGTGTAGGTGTGTCCATGTGAATGCAGGCTCCTGCGGGGTCAGGGGTGTCAGATGCCCTGGAGTTGGAGTGCAAGCTTTTGTGAGGCACTCCTCATGGGTGCTGAGAACTGAACTTGGGTCCTCTGGAAGAGCAGTGTGCACTCCACGCACTGGACCACCTCTCCAGTGCCCTGTCCTAAGTGTCTTTGGTTTTGCTGTGTCGGTCCATGTGTAGAGCCTCCTGTATAACACCTCTACAGTGCGCAGCTCAGTTTCTTCCTGACCTTTGCAAGAAGGCATTTAGTTGTCACTTCATAAACTCTTAAATTAAAATCATGGACCATACTTTTGATTTGAGAATGAATTTTCTTCTAACCGAGACTCACACCTGTGTCCACAGATATGTGCTGACTAGCAGGCTCACGTGTGCAGTGTGGAGGACAAGCAGTGCCTTACAAAATGGGATTTGGGAGTGACCTGAGGAACTCACAGGAAGCTGTGTTAAAGCTGCAAGACTGGGAATTACGGTTGCTGGAGACAGTGAAGAAGTTTATGGCTCTGAGAATAAAAAGTGATAAAGAATATGCATGTACTCTGCAGAATCTTTGTAATCAAGTTGATAAGGAAAGTACTGTGCAAGTGAATTATGTCAGCAATGTGTCCAAGGTAAGAATGATTTCACTTGTTTTGTACAGCATTATATTTGTCCTTGCAGTGAGTAGATCATGGTATAGAACAAGCACACCCCTGACAACTTGCTGAGTCTGAATTTTTTCTTAATACTATGTTATCTGCATCCTACAAATGCTTCTTTTGTGTGTGGTGTGTGCACGCATGTACAGATATGTTTGAGCACTGCATGTGGAGGCCAAAGGAGGATGTAGGTGTCTTTTGTAGCGTGCCAGCTTAGTTCCTTGAGTTAGGGAACTTGTTTGGGCATGGGCCTAGCCTAGTGCTAGGCTGTCTGTGCAGCAAGCTCCTGTGATTCACCTGACTCTGCCTTCAAGCACTGGGATTACAGGCACATGGTCGCGTCTCTACTTTGGGGTTAGGGATTTGGATTCAGACTTGTAAGCTTGTGCAGCCACCACTTTTGCCCACTGAAGCATCTCCCCAGTTCCTGAATCCTTTAAATTTTTATGTGCTTATTTTAGTATCTTTTCAGTTCGGAATACATTTTAATGTGGTTATTTGATATTATTATTAAATAGTTGAATTTATTATTTGACCATTCGCCTTCTCTTTGTTCTATCTTCCTTTAATTCTTTTCATGTATTTACTGCCTTCAATTAAGTTTTTCTTAAATTAAAATTAATTAAAACATTTTCTGAGGCAGGGTCTACATAGCCTTGGCTGGCCTGAATCTCACTATGTAGACCAGGCTGGTCTTAAACTTACAAGAGATGTGCTTGCCTCTGCATCCCAAGTTCTGAGAGTAAGGTCTGTACTGCCCAGCCCTAAATTTATTTTTAATTGATACTTATAAGGAGCTACCAAGTAATGTATTGAAACCTTTCTCCATTATGGACTTTTAAAAATATGTAAATTAGATTAAACAAGTTTGTTTTTTTTTTTTCTTTAATAGTGTCATCTCTGGCAGGTAGTAGGCCACCTTATAGCAGGTCCCACTCCTTAGAGTAGTTTGGCAATACAAATTAGACTTGGGTTAAAAACTATAAAGTGCTGACCCTATGCTTCATTTCAGAAGCATGCTGCATCAGATTTTCTGGTCATCGAAACCCCAAACTGATGTTCTGAAAAGACTCAGTTATTTTTGATTGCAGCCAGGTTAGAGACTGTTTTGAGCAGGGAAACCAAGATTTGAAGAAAGTGCAGAGAGGGTTTTTATGGGTGGGGGTGGGGCACATCTGCAGACTCCTTTGTGCTTGGAGTTGAGTCTTTGAAAACTCTGTTTTAGGGAAATTTAATGAGTTGTTTTCTAGATTTCTTTATCCCCTAAGGACTTAGAGATTCCAGCATTTTCCTTATGTAACAGGCAAACTCAAAGAAAAACTGTTGCTTCAGAGGATCATTTATTTTGAGTTATTGTGTAGTGCAGCAACTATGCATCCTTCATGGAATTTTAATATTGAATTTGTGAAAAAAAATTCAACTGAGATGAAAGCAAGCAAATACTTGGAGGAGATAATCTATAGTACAAAGCTATTTTTGACAACTATTATTTAGGTATTTTTCAAGCTTGAGTCATCTTGTTGACTATTTTCAATGCCTTGCTGTAATTATAGGTCTGGTAGTAGTTTGTTCTTTTACACAGTGTCCCAGAATACATACTTTTTGGTATAATAAACTTAGAACATTTAAATTACTACCTGTTTTGGAAAACTGATTCATCTTACTACATCTGCTAGTTCACAGGTAGAAGACAAGAAAGGACTTGTGTTTTTCTAAAAGGTGTTTATTTTCCTTAATTAAAAAAAAATTATATGCATGGGTGTTCTAGCTGCATGTATGTCTATGTACCATATATGTGCAGTGTTCTTGGAGGCCAGAAGAGGGTGGAGGTCCCCTGGATCTGGCCTGAGATGGCCTGGAACAGCAGCTACAGATAGCTTCCATAATGCGGATGTGGGAATCAAATCCCAGTCCTCTGGAAGAATAGCCAGTGCTCCTAATCCCGAGCAAGACATCTCCAATTGTAAACGGTGTACATTTTCTTCCTCTGTGTAGTTTTCGTTTTCAATAAGCTGAACATGCAATTTACTTTTAAAATATATAGTCATTTCAGCATAATTGATACCTTTGAAAACCTTTTTGGTTTTCAAAGCAAAAAATTGTCATTTTACCATTTTTGTTGATTATTTTATGCATCTTGGAGTTACATAAGTACATGCAACTAACCTCTTTTTGGATCATTGGGGAGAAGGAATATTTTCTAAATTGTATCATTTTTAAGCTATGAATTAGAAGTGATAGATTTACTTTTAGATAAATTTTATTTTTTACTATAAAACAACAGAATAAAAACTAGGTAAAATATTTAAAAATCACAGATTTAAGATAAAAGTAGTATATGAAAATTTTAACTATATTAATACAAATTCTGCATAATGTTATAAAATTAAAAAATATCTCAGACTAGTATTTTGTTTTCTTGGGGCATATAAAAGTGTGTGCTATCGGTATCTCTGTGTTAACTTGGTCTTATTCCTAATTATCTGGTGTTGGATTTGGATTGGCTAGCTAAGGTGTTTCATTGCTTAATTCTTTTTTCAAATGGGTATTGTAAAGGGTCACCATTATTTTTTAGTTAAAAACAAAGTTTTGGTGAGGTGACTCTTTTCATCTCTGTGGTTTTCATGTCACGTCAATAATGACACAAATCTTGACTTAAAAGGACTTCTTCACTTGGGCATAATCGTGCTGCAAAGTAGTGCCCTGAAGTACTGGCCTGCAGGAAGTCCATCATGTTCTCCTTTACTTTAGTCTCAATATACTAATTACAGGATTAAACATTAAAGACTACTGTTTACTTCCTAACCAGTTTAGCTTAGTTAATGTTTTTGTTGCTTTAGAGATAGAGTCTCATGTATGTAGCCTTAGGTTGGCCTTGAACTTGGGTGTCCTTGATCTTCTGATTTTCCTGACTCCACTTCCCAAATGCTAGGATTATGGGCATGCACTGCCATACCAAGCCAAGAGTGGTTATTTTTCTTAAAGTAGTGAGGAGACAGGATTTTAAGAGTCCCCCTGTTTTCTCTCTCCCAAGGTTCAAGGTGTGTATCATGTCTAGCACATTCAGAAATTTATGTTTGCATGTGAGCTCTTCTATTACTTATGTGACTTTGAATGGTTGACTTTCAGTTTATAAATTAGGTGAAGCATTTGCCTAATCATATTAATGAAAAGAATGAATAAGAAAGGCTGAAAGTTGGCAGACAGCAAGTATTAAAGATGATTAGCTCAGAGTTACTTAAATCAGAGCTGCTTAAACTCTTGTAGCCTGTTTTAGTATGAGAATTTTCATGTGACTTGGTGTGTAGTTCCAGAAAGGAGGCACATAAGGCAAACATTTACTCATAGTAAATCATGAGAAAATGATTTTAAAACAATTCATTGGTACATATAAAATTTCATATTAATTAAACACGAAAGCAGGTTTATATGCCAAGATGAATGTGCTTTGCTTTTTTTTTTTTTTTTTAATATAAATTAAGTCTTGGCAGGACACAGACCAACCTTAAATTTTTCAGCATTTAAAAAAAAATTATCAAATTATATTTGTTAATGCTGAGAACACTAGTTTGCATTAATAATAATACAAAATGGCAGAAATATATATAGGACCATTTCAGGGATTGCTGGAAATTGTCTTCTTAAGCCATAATTCAGTGAATTATCATTTTATGAAACTCAAATCAAAAACAGAAAAATTTAAAATCAAGCGCTTCACATATTCCACTATGAAAACAATTTGACATTTGTATACTGAGGAATGATGAGAGAAAGTTTCATTTTCATAATTAAACCATTGTTTCTGTAAGAACAGAAAATCTTATATGTGAAGTAAAATTACTGCAAACTCATAGCTTGCAATAATCGTGAAGCTGAGCTTGGATATTTCATATGCCTTGGAAGTGCGTGAAGAGACAGTGTGAGTGCCTGTGTGCATGTTAGAATCAAGGCTGCTGAGAAGTCCTGCTGCACAACATGGACCAGTGCTGTCAGGAACACCTCATTCATTAATGGCGTATTTTTAATTAGCTTTTGGTTGGTGCACATGTGGAAATTTTTTCTGGTGTACATGCATGCACACACATATTTATAAACCCCACATTCACCAACACTACTCCATATGGGGCCATGAGCCAGTTTAAGGAGCTGAGATTTGGACAGAAGTTTGCTTTAAAAGGAGTGAGGTTAGAAAGATGTAATGGGGACCATCAGTTTTTCTGTTTTATGCTGCATAGGTTTGAGAGAAAAAGAAACAGCATTTATTTGATAGATGTTTTCTTCTTTTCTTTTTTTCATCTTCCTGTCTTTACCTGTTGCTCCTTCCCCTCCCCCAACTCTTTTCTTTCCCTTCACTCTCAGAGGGTTTACTCATCCCTAACTCAAATTGCTCTTCCAAAAGAGTGTTCATATTATTTGTAGTTCACAGATTCTCAGCCCTTTGTTCTTCTTCCTTGATAATCAGCTTCTGAGGCTAATGTGGAAGAGTTATCACACTCTTTACATTTCCTTCTCTCTTTCCCTCTCTCCTTCCTCCTCTCCCACTCCCCTTCCTCATTAGCTCCCTAGGTCCTCCCATTTGCTTTTGCCATTAAATCATTAAATGGAAAGTTCTCATACAAATGCTAATTGTTTTATTATTGTTTTTATACAGTCTTGGCTCCTTATGATTCAGCAGACAGAACAGCTGAGTAGGATAATGAAGACACATGCTGAGGACTTGAACTCTGGACCCTTGCACAGGCTCACCATGATGATCAAGGACAAGCAGCAGGTGAAGAAGAGCTATGTGGGCATCCATCAGCAGATAGAGGCAGAGATGATCAAGGTGTGTCTGTCTGTGGTTTGTGTTCTCTTGAATTTCTTTTAAAATCTGTTACTATTTTGTCCTGTTTCATCTTAGAATTGTCATTTCCTGACAAGAACTATTAGTATCTTTGCTAATACTTTGTGTACAGAATGTTACTGACCGTAAGATGTCATTTCACTCCCAGCGAAGAGAATACACCCTGACCATTAAGCTGTGCCCCCGAGATCTTGTAATAACTTGGCAGATATGTTTTTTGTTTACTGGAATAGTTTTAGGACTGGAGAGATGGCTCAGGGATTAAGAATGCACATTGTTCTTCTTCCAGAGGAGCCAGGTTCAATTCCCAGCACCCACACGGCAGCTCACAACCTTTGTAACTCCAGTCCCAGGGGATCTGATTTTCTCTTCTGGCTTCTATGAGTAGTGCCAGCACATGGTGCACAGACATACATGGGAGAAAACACTCACACACATAAAATAAAAAGAAACAGCCTTTAGCTTTTGTTAAAAATTAAATATGTATGTATTTTCTTGTATTAATAATAATTTAGTCAATGTAAAATGTTGCATATCCAAACAGAAGAGCAACATGGGTGCCTCTGTAGCTGTCACCATAGTCATTGCTCTCTTGCTTCATGTAGTCTCACATTTCATCTCAGTATTTGGCCATTTAGAGGAAATCACCGATAGCATTTTATCCAAAAACACTTTAGCATATATTGGTAATACAGGGGTTCTTTTAAAAAAGAAAAAAAAAAGAACATTTTGATTAATCCACTTAAAAATGACAGATATTAGTATTAATATATCTGCTGTGTTCCTATGCTTGCAGGTTAAGCGGTTTCTGTTGGTTTGTTTTAGTGAAGACGTAACCTGAGACATAAGTAGCATTTGAATAACTATCTTTTAGTCCCTAGGTTGTTCTTTCTGTTTCTTTCTGAAAAATAACAGTTGAAATTAGGTAATTTGCTATATGTAATTGAATTCCTTCAATTTTGAGTTTTTCTTTCATTCTTTTTTGTCTGATTATTTGTTTGTTTGAGATGTGGTCTTACTATGTATCCTTAGCTGCCTTGCAGCTTCTTCTGTTGACCAGGCAGGCGTTGAATTCACAGAGCTTAGCCTACCTCTGCCTCCAAGTGCTGGGAAAAAACTGTATCACCACACATGGCTCAATTTTGAAGTTTTTGATAAGCGTCTTATGAAACACACTTTCATCTTTTTTTTCCTATAAATTTGAAATTGGATAGATCTAGAGGCTTAATTTGGTCAAGAATATATCGTAGATGTGTTGTTTCAGATCAGGGTGTAAATAACTTCCTATTGTTTCATATCAGGGCATATATAATGCTTGTTTGTGTTATTTTGATATTACACTTTGCTAATTAGTTCCACAGTTGTCAGAGTCATGTGTCAGATTTCCACTTCGCTTTTTATCTAGTGATTGCTGTTTAATACTCGGTATGAATGTGTATGTGTATGTGTGTGTGTCTTTGTGTATTGTGGTGTGTTGCATATGTGTTGTGTGTGTACTTTATGTCTGTGTTGTATGTGAATTTGCGTATTGTGTGTTACAAGTGTATGTTGCATGTGTGTGTTTTTGTGGTATATGTGTGTGTTGTATGTGTGCTTGTGTATTGTATATGTTGTATGCGTGTGAAAGTGTGTGTTGTATGTATGTGTTGTGTGTGGGTTGTGTATTGTATGTGTTAGAATGTGTGTCTGGGTAGGCTAGAGATTGATATCAAGTGTCCTTAGTCATTCTGCACTCAGATTTTTGAGGCAGGGTCTCTCTGTGAACTCAGGGCTATTTCAGATATACTAGTGACCTGTGTACTTTGGGAATCCTCCTGTCTCTGCCCCTCCTCCCAGGGCTGGAGTTACAGGCACCTGCTGCCATGCCCGGCTTTGCATAGGTGCGAGGGATTTGAACTCAGGTTGTCATGCTTTCATGACAGGTGTTTTACTCACTAACCCATCTCTACAAACCAAAGGGATCTTATTTTCTTTTATTGGTATTTCTTCAGTGGAAATTCTTTTATATCTTTTATTTCCTAATGTAGTTTAACAAATTATTTCTTGTCAAGTAGAATCTCTCCCTTGCCTTGTCTTTCTCTGTACTCTTCCATGTACCTCTTCCATCTCTCTTTCAAATTTTTGGTCTCTACATTCATTGTTATTGTATGAAATATGTATATAAATACACATTCCCAAATATAACCTATTCAGTCCATGTACTATTATTGGAATGTATATTTTCAGGCTGACCAAGTGGGTCACCCCACTCCTGGCAGTGCTCTTTTGCTTCTCCTTAATTACTGTACATTTTCTCCACTAAAGAATTACTTTGAGTTTCTATCTTAGCCCAGTCAGAGGGACAGCCAAAATGAAAACAATGCAGATGCTGAGAAAATGGACCCTGTGGACCCTTTTGCACTGCTTATGCCCTTATTTACTACAAACTGCTTCTGAACTTAAGGCTTATGGTTCATTGCGGAAGATGGGGAGGAAAGACTGCAAGAGCCACAGGGTCAGGGAGTGTGCTATGATAGCGTCTCCTAGTATTGTGGTATTCTTGATCTGTCTTTTAAAGGAAGTGTATGTGTTTTTCTATCACATTGAATTTATCATGGATTTTAAAGCTGATTTTTAGTTTATTGACTAATTTTTTTGCTAAAGAGTAGTTGTCACCTATGGGTCATAAAATGCATATAAACTAATCGGTTAGAATGTAAACTGTTGACCAATTTAAATGTAACACTTAAATTTTTTTCTGCATATTATCTCTTTGACAGGTCACAAAAACAGAATTGGAGAAATTAAAATCCAGCTATCGACAATTAATAAAAGAAATGAATTCTGCCAAAGAGAAATATAAAGAAGCCTTAGCCAAAGGTATGACAGGCAGCATTAGGAAAAGTCTTTACTGTGGTGGTTTCTATTCATTCTAGGGCAGCTTATGTTCTAAAATCTCAGAATATATCAAAATGGACCAGTTGTTGAACTGATGTAAATTCTGTTTTGTGTTTTAAGAGATTCTGAGTGATTCTGAGTAGTTTAGTGTTTGTAAAGGGATGCAGGGAATGTGTGTGTGTGTGTGTGTGTGTGTGTGTGTGTGTGTGTGTGTGTATGTATCTTGCATTCAGTTTACTTAATTAGAGATTATTAAGTGAGAAAAACAGTATTCTGTGTGTTTAGAAGTCGTTTCAAATGCTTTTGCCTCTAGTATTAAAACAAAAAGATCATTTGTGGCATAATACTTCCATTACAGATTAAGTTTCATGTTTATATTGTCCTAAGGCTTTCTTAAAGTCTTAGATGGGAAAGAGGAGCACATTGTCTCCATTTCCCAAAGTTATTCCTGATTCTAGTCATTTGCTGTGCATTTTTAAAATTTAATCTAGAATTCTGTGAGCATTGGTTTCACTAGAGAATCATCCTGGGTCAGGAACGGAAGCTTTTGGGTCTCTGGAATGGACCAGTGTTTCCCATCTGGATTAGTGTGACTTCATGTTTTAGATTTAGACTTTTGCTCTTTTATTAAAATTTTCTTAATTACTAAGTAAAACTTCACTAGACACCATTTCTTCATTCTTACTTTTCTCTTTCAATAATACACTTTATATATCTTATCATATATTGTGTTGTTAGTCAACAGAAAACAAGGGAAAATGAGGTCACTTTCCTCTTGGGTGTATTTTAAACAATGAAGCTACTGTTGTCACCATCCTCCTCTCTTTTCCTCCCCGTCTTTTGTTTACCTCCTTTTCACATCTCTTCCTCACTCTCCTCCCCATTTGGTCCTATCCCATCCCATCCTGCCACTTCTGTTTCTTATTGAATTTCAGTAGCTCTTTATAGAGAAAATTCATCCATGTTCACGGTTTTGTTTTTTCTTTATGTATTTCCATGCACCTTAATGATTCTGAGATTGTTGTGTCCTTATTAATTTAGAGGCTTTTTTTTTTTTTCAAGTTTCATCCTCAGTATTTTTTTCTCATTTTGAAGAATGCTTTAGGTACTCAGAAAGCATTCTCTCTGGTCCCCAGCATTACTTTGTTTTTTAATTTGTCAGCATAGTTAGCTTTGTAAAGTTGATTATTTCATCCTTAGGCAGGCCTCCACAGTTAATGACATTATAAATCCATATGAGACCCCGCCCAGTGCCAGCAATGACTTGATGACTTTATGCTAATTCAGCTATACAGTTTTTCACGTTACTTTCATATCTATTGGTGAATGACTGGTAAGCAAAGGCAATTCAACACCAGGCTTTGATACCTGTTTTTAATGATGTAGATTATTTTTGTTTAAACACAAAAGCTATGTTGTAATGTTTTAAGTGGCCTTTGCACTTAATATTTGTTTTACAGAAATAGGCTCATAGATGATTCTTTTTGAGCCAGTGAAACACTATTGTAGCAAGGCAGTAGGAGCATCTGAAGACAGTGCTTTTAGTGCCTCTTTCCCTCCATCTTCCTTCCCCTTCCATCCCTCTTCCTTTCTTTCTCTTTTTTCTCCACCTTTCTCTTTCTTTCTTTCTTTCTTTCTTTCTTTCTTTCTTTCTTTCTTTCTTTCTTCCTTCCTTCCTTCCTTCCTTCCTTCCTTCCTTCCTTCCTTCCTTCCTTCCTTCCTTCCTTCCCTCC